TTATGGGGTGGGGATGGGGTGCTTATAGGGGGTTATGGAGGGATATGGGATGGCTATGGGATAATTATGGGATGGCTATGGGGTCATTATAGGGTCATTATGGGATGGTTGTGGGGTGGCTATGGGGTCATTATGGGGTCACTATGGGCTGGCTATGGGGTCACTGTGGGGTCATTGTGGGGTCAGTATGGGGTCAGTATGGGGTCAGTATGGGGTGGCTATGGGGTCACTGTGGGGTCATTATGGGATGGCTATGGGGTTATTATGGGGTCATTATGGGCCAGCTATGGGGTCACTGTGGGGTCACTATGGGATGGCTATGGGGTCACTGTGGGGTCATTATGGGGTCACTGTGGGGTCGTTATGGGCTGGCTATGGGATCACTGTGGGGTCATTATAGGATGCTATGGGGTCACTGTGGGGTCGTTATGGGCCGGCTATGGGGTCACTGTGGGGTTGCTGCCCCCGGCCGACCTGAAGCTGCCATACGGGGTGCTGAGCTGGAAGCTGCGCCGCTCCGCGTCCCGCACCGAGCCCAGCGCCATGGGGATGGACGTGATGCCCAGCCCCTGCTGCTGCTCCTGCGGGGACAGCTGCTGCCGCTGCTGCATGCCTGCCTGCACGGCTGCGGCTGTGCTGCATCGGCTGTGCTGCATTGCCCGAGCTGCATTGCCTGAGCTGCATTGCTTGAGATGCATTGCATCAGCTGTGCTGCGTCGGCTGCATTGCCTGAGCTGCATTGCTTGAGATGCATGAGCTGCATGAGCTGCATCAGCTGTGCTGCATTGCTTGAGCTGCATTGCATCAGCTGCGCTTCATCAGCTGAGCTGCATTGCTTGAGCTGAGCTGCATCGGCTGCATTGCATCCGCTGTGCTGCATCAGCTGTGCTGCACGAGCTGAGCTGCATCGGCTGCGCTGCATTGGCTGCATTGCTTGAGCTGCTTTGCATGAGCTGCATTGCATGAGCTGCGCTGCATCAGCTGTATTGCATGAGCTCCACTGAATCGGCTGCGCTGCATCAGCTGCACTGCATGGGCTTAGTTGCATGAGCTGCATTGCATGAGCTGCGCTGCATGAGCTGAGCTGCATCAGCTGTGCTGCATTGGCTGCATTGTGTGAGCTGCATTGCATCAACTGCACTGCATGAGCTACATCGCATGAGCTGTGCTGCATCAGCTGAGCTGCAATGGCTGCATTGCTTGAGCTGCATTGCATCGGCTGCGCTGCATCAGCTGCACTGCATGAGCTTCGTTGCATGAGCTGCAGTGAATGAGCTGCACTGTGTGAGCTGAGCTGCATCAGCTGCATTGCTTGAGCTGCACTGCATGAGCTGTGCTGCATTGCATGAGCTGCACTGTGCAGCGCGCTGCTCCCTGCCTGCAACCTTCCTGCATGCGCTGCACTGCTGGCTGCACTGCTCACTGTGCTGCATGCAGAATTGCACACTGCTTCGCACGCTGCTTTGCACACAGCTTTGCACGCAGCTTTGCACACAGCTTTGCACGCTGCTTTGCACACAGCTTTGCACGCTGCTTTGCACACTGCTTTGCACGCTGCTTTGCACACAGCTTTGCACGCAGCTTTGCACGCAGCTTTGCACACAGCTTTGCACGCTGCTTTGCACACTGCTTTGCACACTGCTTTGCACACAGCTTTGCACGCTGCTTTGCACACAGCTTTACACACAGCTTTGCACGCTGCTTTGCACACAGCTTTGCACACAGCTTTGCACGCTGCTTTGCACACTGCTTTGCACACAGCTTTGCACGCTGCTTTGCACGCAGCTTTGCACGCAGCTTTGCACACTGCTTTGCACACAGCTTTGCACGCTGCTTTGCACACAGCTTTACACACTGCTTTGCACGCAGCTTTGCACACAGCTTTGCACGCTGCTTTGCACACTGCTTTGCACGCTGCATTGCTCACTGCCCACCCCCCACCCCCCCATTACCCAGCATTGCCCCCCCAAACCCCAACCCCTCACCCCCCCCACCCCA